CAAGACAATTGCATATCGTCAAAATTGATATAGTCTTAAAAAAATTAAAATATAATAATTTACAGCTGAATTTTTAATGTTGATAATTTTAAACATGAAAATTTATCATAAGATATTAAAAATATACAGAACGATGTACTAAGTTTAAAGTAATATAAGAACTTGACTCTTGCATTCTTTTAACTAATAAACATTTGTAAAAAATAATTAATTTTTATCAAAAAACAATATTAAATGACATAAATTATATAAATAATAAACCGTCACATTTCGTCACCATATAGATTTAGCTTATGAGAATGATGAGATGTGTATCAACTTATCGGTCGTACGGTGTAGGGGTTAGGTATCGGTCTGGGAAGCGCGTGACTCGGGTTCGAATCTCGGTTAGAGAACGGATACGATTTTCACTTTATTTCTATAATTTGCGACAGTTAGGTTTAAATTCACTCTACTGATAAAATAAAATAAAAAAAAACACCCCAAAAATTATTTTTTTATCATTTTTGATCAAATGGCATGGGTCAGACTTGAAAATTAACTATGGCTCAGCCCTGGTAACCAGGCATGGGCCAGTCCTGGTAACCAGGCTTGGCCCATCGTTATCATCCCAGACTTCAACCAGGACTGGGCCAAGCCTGGCTTACAAGCTTGGCCCAGAGTTTTACATAGTTGGGCCAAGCTTGGGCCAAGCTAGGCCCCGTGGTACTTTCCTCTATGGGGATAGCTTTTAGATCAACCATTTTCCTGATTTTTTTAATAGTAAAATTTCATGCTAAGATATCATTATGGTTCCAGCGCTCGAGAATAAGCAGATATTAATTACTTATTTACACAAAAAACATTATAGATATTAATATAAATTTTATTCAGATCAATAAATACACTCTTAAATAACACTAAAAATACCCAAATTTATATTTTTTTATATTTCTTACAGGAATAAACAAAGGGTGAACGGAGCTCCTCCTCAACTTGGTATGTCGCCGACGTACGTGATAACTCGATAACGGCTTATCTAAAACCCTAGAACCAAAATTATTTACGTATTTAATAGATCAGTAGTTATTGCATAAGCTACGGAAATTAATATTGATTGATAAAAAATAAAATAATGGACATTAAAAAAAAAACTGAAAAATGCGACTTTGTTCACAATTTTTAGTCTTAGAAACATACAGTACAAATCAAAATTTTGGTTTGTTTGGAGCTAATGCAATAGCTTCTACTATCTAGAATATGTCGTTTGAATTTCATTAAGATCGGGTTAGTGGTTCCGGATATATCATGTTCTCCAATCATAAAATCATAGTTCTAAGAGAACGTGCTTAAAGTTTTTTTAATTTACAAAAAAGAAAATCTTACCTAAAGTCAATCATCAGCGCTTCCGGGAACATACAAAATCCCTCAAGTCTTTTCAAAGGTTTGATTTTTTTCCACTCGGACATCCACATAATAATCGTAATAAAATAATATAGTTACATTGGTATAATCACTTAGAAATTTTAACACAATTTTTTAATTAGATATAGGTACAGTGGACTCTCGATAACTCGAACCTCAAGGGAATTGATAAAAACTTCGAGTTAACGAGTTTTCGACTTAACAAGATGTTCGAAATTTGCAAGTAGATTAGACTAAAAATTAAGAAAACAATTGATTTCTGTTATATGAAGCATATTTATTTAAAAAATTATCAATTATTAAGGTAAAAAATATTACATAAAGTCTATTATTTTTTTCTGAAGTAAAGAATTCTCAGATTTTTTATCAATTAATTTCTCGAGTTTAAATAGTGAATCGAATACATGATCCTCAATGTCAATACATCTTTCAACATAGGATCGTATTGTGTCAACTGCTTCTCTAGCTTGTTTAGTTGTGATTGCTGGTTAACAGTCAAAAACTTTGCAAGAAAATAACTTAGAGAGAAAATATACACTACAAACAAGAATGTAAAAAGCATTGAACATTCCTATAGGAATTAAGATTTGATTGCTAGAAGCCTGGACAGTTCGGAGAAAAACGTCTTTATATTTTACTAACTTCGAGTTATAGAGATTCACTTTTAAAATTCGAGTTATAGAGTATAAATATGCCTTATCAATACTGGAAGGGAAACGATACAAAGTTCGAGTTATAGAGTCTAAATAATTCGAGATATCGCGTATTTAAGAGTTCAACGGAAGGGAATACAATTTTTTTTCGAGTTACCGAGGATTTCGACTTAACGAGGTTCGAGTTATCGAGAGTCCACTGTACTTTCAAAAAATGTAAAAAAAAATTAATTCTTTTAAAAGTTACAATCCAGAATAATCCCTCAATTAATGATAATTTTTTTTCGAAATACTTATAAATGATCGTCATAGTTTAACATTTTCGTTATTGCTCTGGACTTAAAAGCCGATTTTTAGCAGAAGAAATAAAACTTGAATTATTTTTTTACTTACATAAACATGCAATATGACTACACTTTTTTAGAAAACGTCTCTTATACTTTGTACCCAATGATTTTTTCAAAATTTTTGATCCATTGCAATGGAAAAAACTCAAACTTATTTTTTCTCTTTTTTTTGCTTATAACTTTTTGAATAATTATCCAAATCGTAACTTTTATTGTTAGAAATGTTTATTTCTTAATGGATTAAAAAAAAAAACAAAAAGAAATAGTCAAAGTGTGTTTAATAGGTAATTTTTGAATTTGAAAAATTTACAATTTATAGTTCTATTGGAAAGTATATTTTGATTTTTTGAAATTTTTTTATTTCAAGCTATAATCTTCTCACCATTTTTTAGTCTGGTCTGATAGAATTTATAGTAGAATATTCTGTTTTTGATTGTTATAAATGAATTTGTTTATGAGTTGACGTATCTGTTTTAAGCTGTTATATAAAGTTAAACTGTTTATTATTATAAATATTAATGTCCATTTAGTCTTCAAACATAGCTTGCATCACTGAAAAATAAGATAAAGTAGCCTTTAAAATATTTTTAAAACTATCAATATTCATAGCATAAATTCTTCCGGCTGTTAAATTGAACGTTTTATGAGTTCTAAGCATAATGAACACCAGGTCTTTAATTGCTCTATGCGGTAAGTTGTACCATGTACTGCAGTATATCGCGGTGTGCAAATTTGCTATTCCAGAACTCAATCGGTCACCTGCGTAACTATAAAGAAAGATTTGAAGATTCAGTATGTAAAGAATGATGACTCCATTAACGACTGTGGCAGTATCTCCATTTCGCAAACTTATGATCATCTGCAATCCTAAAAAAAAACAACTATCGGAAGAATAGATTATAAAGTTAAATCGTAAAATAGTAAATATTTGACTAAGAAAAGTAATGGTAAAAATGTATGCACTGAAAAAAAAGTTTTTTTCCCATCTAGAATACAAAATATTTTTATAAAATTTTTTTTATTCAATATAAGGTAAAAGACCCATTTATTGACACTGGTCTAGTTGGTCGACACTTGCAATTTTTACTTAAAATTTTGTGCATATATTTTCCAAAGTATTAACTTAAAATTAAAAAAAAAAAATTAGGAAAATGGTTGACCCTGAAGGCCATCCCTGCAACTTCCCGCCAATTCTATATCTAAACGCTTGAAATTGCACTTATGACGTTTTAGAGCTCTTCGAGCTCTTAAATACAATTTGTGTATTATTTTGAGCTCTCCGAGCTCAAAAAAATAGCTTTTGTATTCTTTTGAGCTCTTCGAGCTCAAAAACTAATCAGCTCTTAACCTTGAAAACCCCCATGGATCGACACTAAAAACGTCAGAATCGGTTGATGCGTTCGTGAGATATTGTTATCGAAAATAATCGAAAAAAGTGTTTTTTTGTAATAACTTCGAAATTCATGGCTCGATCGATTTAAACTTGAAAATTTTTCGTGGAGCTTCAGAAACTGCGTCGATTGCCGCCAACCGCGTGAAAATCGGTTCATTCATTCAAAAGTTATAACAGTTTGAAAATTAAAAAAATCGTGTTTTATCAAATTTTGATAAATTGAGATAAAGACTTTTGAGCTCGAAGAGCCCAAAAGCTCAAAACAGCTACTTTTTTATAGAGCTCAAAAAACTACATCGATTGCCGCCAACCACCTGAAAATCGGTTCATTCATTCAAAAGTTATTGCCGTTTGAAAATTCAAAAAATTGTGTCTTTAAACTGCTATTAGAGTTTTGAGCTCGAAGAGCTCAAATTGACACAAAAACAATATTTTTGAGCTCGAAGAGCTCTAAAACGTAATATGTAGTTTGAAGCGTTTAAGTACAAAATGAGCGGGAAGTTGCAGTAATGGCCTTTAGGGTGAACCGTTTTTCTAATTTTTGCACGACTCATGATGCGAAGCATCAGAGAGTGCTTTACGATCGAAAAATTTTTTTCGCCTCATTTTGGCAGCTATTTTTATTATTATAGCCTTGTTAGTTCACGGAATCAAGATATTTTGCATACTATTGTCGAGATAATTTAATGGAGATTAATTCCATACTTTTTAAAAATTGATTTACTGCAATAGAATCGAAAAAAAAACACCAAAATAGGCCAAAAAATTTTCCTGTCCGTCATGTGTGAAACCCGAAAACACTGTAACTTGTGAAAAAATCCACGATTTGAGTTAAATTTTTTTTAAAAAAATTCTAATCGATGATTGTAGGTCACTGAATGCGAATGATTAATTAATTCAGTGTCGTTTAATTACAATTAATAAAAAACGAAAACTACAAGACTGTATATCTATATATATCCATGTAAAATTAACATGGATGGTGACATATCTATAGATATTATGTACATTTATTCCACCAGAGGCGCTTGTGCAGTACCTTCCTAGTACAGCTATTTTTTCGGCAACTAATTTTGAACGACTTATGTTTTTTTTTTTTTTTTTTAATATTTTATAATTAAATGAGCATTATGAGTCGTGCACTTTTGGATTTTCCAAACTTTTTTTATTTTCAAATCGCAATAACTTTTGAATGAATGAACCGATTTTCACGCGGTTAACGGCATTCAACGCAGTTTTTTAAGCTTCATAAAAAATCTCTGAGTTTATATTGACAGAGTGGAAAAATTCGGAGTAATTCCGAAAAAACGCTTTTTTCGGTTTTCTTTCATCAACGATAACTCACGAACGAATTAACTGATTTTGACCGGACTGGCGGCGATCGACGTGGTTTTTTGACGTTAAGAGCTGATTAGTTTTTGAAATTGATCGGTGGAGCCGTTTAAAAGTTATTTCAAAAAAACCTCTTTTGAAAAAATTTTTTTTTGTAGTTTTTTTACGATTTCTCAAAATCTATCGGTCCGAATCGGTTCAAATTTTCAGGAAATCTAAGTTCGGGCAAGCCTTTTCGAATGGCACCAACCGCGATCGAATCGGTCAAGCCGTTCAAAAGTTATAAGAGGGTCACATACATCCATACACACACACACACACACACACACACACACACACACACACTACCGGAAGTATTTCCACCGCTTTAAGCATGACGATACTCCAGAGTGCCCGTCCTGTCCAGGGGGCACTGAAGATGCGGAGCATGTCTTCTTTGTGTGTCCACGTTTTAACCAACAGCGCAATGAGTTAGAGAGGATTCTGAAGAAGAGAACCCAACCAGCGTCAATAGTAGAGGCAATGTTGTCGTCAGAAGCTGTCTGGAATGCAACGAACACTTTTGCTACAGAAGTGCTTACAGAGCTGCGTTTCATCGAGAGAAAAAGAGCAAAAGACAGAATCTAGAAGGAAGATAACATCTTAGCCCCCAGAAGGAAGAGCGGCAGCTAATTCCTCCCCCCGCGAAGAAATGCCTTACGGCGGTACCATGGGGGATCAGAGGATAGAAGAGAAAGGGGTTTAGGGTTTAGTGGGTAGGGGCGTCAGCGTCAAGTTTTAGTATGACGCAGCGTCGAGTCACCACATATCCGGGCCAACATCTATGCCTAGAATCCGTAAAAAGGATTCCCCCCCCCTAAAGGGAAAAAAAAAAATACATACATACAGACACCACCGCGGGGGTAGTCAGGGAAGCTTCCTGTGACCTTAAAACGTCGAGATCTGATGAAAATTCGATTTTTGCAAAACGGGGTGAAAACAATAACTTTCCGATTTTTGAATATCTGAGATTTTTAGCGGGAAGTTAAAAATTAGGAAAACGGTTGACCTTGAAGGCCATCCCTGCAACTTCCCGCTACTTTAGTAATTAAGCGCTCAATATTGCACCCATTACGTTTTTGAGCTCGAACAGCTGAAAAATATAATTCTCGTGTAGTTTTGAGCTCTCCGAGCTCAAAAGTCTGATAGAAGTTTAATAAAACACTATTTTTTGAATTTTCAAACCACAATGATTTTTGAATAAATGAACCGATTTTTACGAGGTTGGCGGCATTCGACGCTGTTTTTCAAATTCTATGATACTTTTTCTAACACAAATTGAGAAGACCGAAAGTTTCGGTGTAATTCGAAAAAAAAACTTTTTTCGATTTCTTTCGTCAACGATAACTCACGAACGAATCAATCGATTTTGACTAAATTGGTGGCGATCGACGTGGATTTTCGATGTTAAGAGCTGATTAGTTTTTGAAATTGATCGGTCGAGCCGTTTGAAAGTTATTAAAAAAAACCACATTTGAAAAAAATTTTTTTCGCAGTTTTTTTAAGATTTCTCAAAATCTATCGGTCCAAATTGGTCCAACTTTTATTCTAATTCTAAGTTTAGTCAAACCCTTTCGAATGGCAGCAACCGCGATCAAATCGGTTAAGCCGTTCAAAAGTTATGAGAGGTTTACACACATACATACACACATACACATCCATACATACATACAGACATACAGAAACCATCGCAGAAATAGTCAGGGAAGCTTCCTAGGACCTCAAAACGTCGAGATCTGATGAAAACTCGATTTTCAAAAAACGGGGTAAAAACAATAACTTCCCGATTCTTGAAAATTTTCAATTTTCATAGCAGGAAGTTAACAATTTTTTTATCCTTCACAGTAGCTTTCCTTCTTAACATTACTATTTTTGAAATTTTTCTCTATCTCTATCTACGTTTCTGAATGTTCTTCTTTAACTCAAGAATACTTTCACAAGAAATTAATGTAATTTCATTGATTTTATTCTATTTATTAACTTCCCGCTAAGAAAAATTCAAAATTTTTTTTAATTTGGGAAGTTATTGGATTTACCCCGTTTTGCGAAAATCGAGTTTTCATCAGATCTCCATATTCTGAGGGCCTAAAAAACTGTCCTGACTATTTCCGCGATAGTGTGTGTGTGTGTGTTTTGTTTTTTTTTTTTTTTTTA